TATATATATATATATATATAATATATAATATATATATATATATATTATATATATATATACTATATATATATATATATACACACACACACACACATATTGTAATTGTATATGTGACTCAATAAATATGATTATTATTGATGTTGTTATTATTATTATTATTATTATTATTATTTCCTTCCAGTCGTAGGAATTAAACTAAACACAGGCAGTGGGGGACACCGTTACTTAGCCGATAACCGACCCAAAATACCAAATACAATAGTAGTAACAGTACATAGTACAAGTCCCAGAGATTTAATATAATAATTAAAACCTAACGAATGCAAGGTTTCTTTATCAAAACTATGTCAATAGACAGATAACAATTATTATGAATGACAAATTTGTTTTTAGCTCTTACCTCATCAATATTTTAGGAGTATTTTCCACAGTTTATGAGTCATGTATTAAACACAAGTGTACAGTACAGAGAGTATTATATCAAACAGGATAGAGATAGCAGAAAAATGAGATCAAAATCTTGTTCTCTAATATTTTAAATGCGGAAGGCTTATGTTACTGAAAAATCAATATAATTCTGATAATCTGTTTAATTGTCGGATGAATAGCATGTGACCTACATATTATTTCTGTAGCTGTAAAAACCTTAATATTTACAAAAATTCCTAATTCAAATCTCAAAAGAGATAAAACAATATATTTACATCAGTTGTTAAGAATTAAACTCGAAAAAATTAAGAATCATTAAAAAAAATCCCTTGGGGTGGGATTCCCAATACTGTGACGAAAACAAATTTAAGGGAAAGGGAATAAAAAGAAAGAACATTCATTTAAAGGTTGTAGCAGAATATAGGCGGTAAAAACGCCCCCGAGCTTAATTCAATTTTGAATAGAGGGTATGTTTAGTGTTACATTGAAAGTCATTTTCTAAAACTCTCAGAAACGACAGCCAGATTATTTTATAAGGTATCAGAAAAAATACAAATTATATGAGTTTTTTTCTTACTTTTTTCTTCATTTTATTACTCAGATACAATTCTAAAAAAAATTTGAGGCATAGTTGGTATCTGTACTTATCTTGGAGAGCTTTTTGAAGGAAAGATAAGAAGAAAAAAAGCAGAATTTTCAAAAAAAATATTAAGCTATAATTTTGTATTTTTCTATATTTAATTTCTGGGGTGACGATTCCAAAGAAAAAAATCTACAAATGTTATTAAACTGTTCTTCACAACTGATTTTTGTTTCAGAATTTCATTATTGAAGCGTATTATTGACAAAAATTAATAACTTTTGTCGTCGTTTATACGCATACTAGCGGAACCCAGCAGACGTTCATCCTCCTCTTTCTCCTTCCTTCTCCCTTTCTCTCTCTGTCCCTGTGTATCTTTCTTACTTTCTCTTTCTCTCTCTTCCTGGCTCTGCCTCTTTCCCTCCCTTTCTCTGTCTCGCCCTGCGTCATAAAGAAATACTCAGCAACTATGAACTCCAGGAGAGCATTTTGAATGTAAATTGAATTAAAATTTTGCGCTGAAGAGCAATTTTGTCCTGCAGCGCCAACTAGTCAAGTTGCAACAAAATTTAATAGCACATAAACAATCTGGATGAATAAACACATAATGTGCCAACTTTCATGGGGATCTGTCACACGAGGTCCGACTTCACCTCTTATGTATACCAACACACACACACACACACACACATAAATCGTTCGCACTCTTTGATGCCAATAATATATTTCGTCACATTTGAGAATTAATCAACTAAAATTTATTGTTTTTGAAAATTTTAATTTTAATTTTAATTCAATTAATAAAATTTTAATTTTAATTTTTTAATATATTCCCCCCCCCCCCTATTTTTTAGATCTTAGCGTTCCCACATGTTCACCCATGTAGGAACACTGTCTCAAGTTGCTTAACCTCCTCCTACGAATTGTGGCTAAGCAATTCATGTCCTGACAACAGTGGCTGTGTGTTATCAAACTGTAAATGAATATTGAAACAAATGAAGTGTATTCTTTTCACATTTCACTTTGAATTAACTTCAGAGAAGGGATTTCAATGTGTAATAATTATCTCCCATGACAGTGGGGTTGAGGTGCAAGTGTTAAAAGTTACAACGGGGATGGTTTAAAAATACTATTTTGCAAATATATATTTGAAATTACTCTTTGTATGTTCGTAGTTTCTACTTTAAATTTTCTAATATTATTCATACATTTTGGGGCAACACTTTAGTTCTTAAAAATTAATACAGTTAACGCACACACTGTCATTAATTATTCTTAAAGCATGGGTTTTAAATTAATTTAAAACTGGGAGAAATAATAACAAACAAAGAACACATTATGAATACAAACATATATTTTAACAGAATATTTAGCACAAAAATCTGCACACACATCCAGCTCTCAAAGGCAACCATTACAGCACCAGAGGCCACAGCTAAGGCAAAAACATAATGTTTGGACATGCTATAAGCTCCAAATGTTGCAACTTGCAACCGCACAGCCCCTTTCTATATAACATGGCACTTCACTACAATTACAGCCTCTGTTACGGTCACAAAACTTACTCCAATCAGATACAACCACTTTTAACAGTTTCATCGGTGCAGTTCAGCTTAGCACATTCTTGCTTCAGCACAAAAATTACAATTGTCATTCGGAAACTGATCAAACAAATTACTTAAGCACTTAAATCAAAACAAGAAAACAATAGATCAGTCTTTCCAACAAAATACATTGACATTTCACTATTTTCAAACTTGGTATTTATTTTCAAGCTGCTTATTTATATCCTTATGAATTTCAGTCAAACAACAAATGCAACACTGACTATGTCTGATTATTCTACATACTTGCATTAAACCTAAAAACCATGCCCCAAAATTCTTTAAAACTAAATGAAAAATGGTAACAAACAAAGGAGCAATTTAGCCACAGTATACATTTAAGCCAAGTTGCTTGTGCAAATGCATGATAGATTTTCAAGCAGATCTGAGTAGGGAAGACAAGAATATTTTCAAATGTATTTGGTAATGAGTCTCCCCTTTATCATTTTGTTACCATTATTATATTGTTTTCATCAAAAGGAAGACTAAATTTGATCGGAAATAATCCTACAAATAACAGGTAAAAGTAAACATTCACCTTTTAAATGTATCAAATGATTTTCATTTGGAAATGCATTGAACTTACGACTTAAAAATGAATCTATCAAAACTATTTTTAAAAAGAGAAATGATTAAAATTTTTAACCAACTGGATGTTGCTCACAAAATGAAATCTGAGAAAATTATTTTACAAATTGACTGCTATTTTCCAAAACCATGAAGGTCTAAATATTAGCAAAAATTGTAAAAGAAATGTGTTTCAAGAAATACTGCATTTTTTTTACAAATATTTTTATAGTTTGTATTTATGCACATCACAAACTATTAAAAAACATTGAATTTTGTAAATTTTCAAGAGAAAAATAGTGTAATCCAAATAAAAACTCTTTCCTCTTAGATGCTTAAAAATCACTGCAAAGTATTTCCATTGAACCTTTCAATTTCACAAACTAATTTTTCTTCACTTTAGTACAAAAATATAATTTAAAAAATGATAAAAATAAAAGTAACATATCTCCCAAACAGGTACACTACTTTTTACATGATTTTATAATTTTTGTCCAGCAGTTTTAAACAATAATTTAAATTGAATAAATACAATCTTTCACCAATGTGACATTCGGAATTGAATCAGTAATTGAATGATGAGATGAAACAGTTGCAACAAAACCACACACTTGATGACACAATGCAGGGTGCTTCCATCAAAATAACTGGGAGGACAGGGCACCAACTGTTAAGGCAGTCAGTTCCCAGGCTGGAAAGGGTACTGGTGGCATTAGTGTTCAGGGCCACTCTGGCAGTCCTCACTGGAGGGACAATCCCAGCGCAAGTGCACAGCTGGTGTCAGGTTCACCAGCTCAACATGAACAGCCTGACATTTCTCCAACTTAGGAGGGATAGGGCACAGCCGATACCTCACTTCATCCCCTGGCAGAGGCACGTACTCTCCCTCAATACTAGAACACAAAATGACAATACCTGACAATTATTGTCTGTTTCATTTTAATTTCTTATATCATTAAATACAAAAAGAATGAAAAGAAACAAAGAAAAAGAAAAAGACCAAAGACACAAGAGAAAGAATGAACCAAGGAACAAAAGAAAGAAAATTAAAACACTTAACTGTATATAATATGCCTAGAATCAGAATAAAAAATACAAAACTCGAGCTGTGTGTGTGTGTGTGTGTATATATCCTCCCTCTCTCTCTGCCTGTAAGTCTATTGGTCTCTCTCGATCTGTCAGTCAGTCGGTCTCTCGCTGTGTCTGCCATGGCCTCTCTGCATTCCCTATACACACGCAATCCACCCCCACAAACACACACGTATGCACGAACGTATCCCCTCCCACACGAGTATATGAACTTATCACTAGAAATACATACACTGATTTTAAGAGAATGAGTGACCTACAATGAATACAACCAGCCAAGAGATGTGATTTTACTTCATTCTCTATTAATACAATAATTCATACAGGCACAAACAGACACTGGGCGAAAAAATATTCAAATAAATCTAACAATTTGGGATTGTTCCCATTTGAAAATACTATTTATTCTACTTTACCATTAACAATGACAGGGAAAAGGAACAGGATAGCTCCACAAAATCCTCTGAGCGTGCACTTTGTCTACCACAAATTCCACAAGGATTGACCAGAGCAAAAACTGACACCACTCATGAAATGTGTATGTAATAAAACAGTCATTACGTCGAGTTCTCCCTCTTATTCTACATAACGCAATGTCAGCTACTTACTCAGAAATGTGAACAAAAATGTCATCTCCTCCAGCACTAGGAGAAATGAAACCATGCCCTTTAGCTCTACTGAAGGATTTGACTTTGCCAATCTCCACTGGATTCTCAAAGGCACGAGCAGCACTGAAACATTACACCAACACACACATTTCACGTTTCTAATAATATAACATATAACAACTATATAATAATATAACAAAAATATACATTTGGACATTATCCAACTAAAAACTGTAGTACTCAATTTTCATAACGATTCAAAATTCATATCCCTAGCATATTGATACGGTTTCCCCCTAAAGGTTTTGATTGCAACAATTGGCCGCGAATGCGGCCATCATATCATTGGCGGCGATGGTGTAATGGTTAGCATGCCGGACTGTTGTACCCATGTTCGCGGGTTCAAACCCGATCGAAGCCGTGGATTTTTAAGGGCGAAACGAACGCTTTCCTTCGGAGGGGAAGTAAAGCCGGCTGACCCATCTACTAGATTTACTTGCATGTAAAATATCCTCAAGCCTGACGCCTCTGAGCTAAATTAAAAAACCACCTGTTTCTCGCCCAAGAAATACCTCCTTCCTCTGCTAGTTGGTGAAAGGAGCGTAGCGAAATTTGCGTGGTAAGACGGAAGAGCGGGCCTGATAGCCCGAGTCCCGCCACGTAAAATAAGGCAAATTCAATTCAATCATAGGAACACGCAAATGTGTCACATGTACCCACCCAGGCCCAGTCATATTCTCCTGAGAGGAGAGTGAACGTGGAGGGGGTACATTACATGAATCTCAAGAACTATTTCAAAATTTTCAACAACAAAAATTGGATGAATTTTTTTTAATAAATTTTGTTGTCGGAGAGCATAACTGATGCTTAAAAAACACCGCTCCCTTGAGATTCCGTATTGAGCAAATTGTATCGTGTGTATGTATGTATGCATGTATGAACACGACGCTCCAAGGTAGGCAAATTGAACCGTTAGGAGCATCAGGGATCCGCGACACAGAACAAGGATCTGGACTGCAGGGGTATTTTGTTCAAGTATGGGCGGATTTATGAGCGCAAAAAGGGTGGAGGAACCCGGCCCTATGCAGGATCGCCCGTCGTCACTGGAAACAAAGGAGAGGGTTTCTTCACATCAGTCTTCTTGAAAGATCACCCACGAACAGCAGCCTCGTGTTTTTATGTCAACCACCCCGCCCAACGCGACCGGTGCCGCACCGCTTAAAACGTTTCTTTCACTAAAAAAGACATTTGAATAAGGTACCGCGTGCAGCCACCTACCACTGACGAATGGGGGGCGAGGTGCGCCCAGCACCGAGCAGTAAATTGGCACCCGTAAAAAATGGAAGGTAGCCGCGAATTTCACGAGTAACTGAAAACAACCCGGAGAGTGCTTCTATGTCGCACTCCTTTGATCGCAAGATAGGTCGCGCCCTTCAGGCGCGCGGAGTCCCAGTGTTGCGAAATTGCAACGGCAATTTTTTTATTAAATGATTTGGACGCCATTGGTTCGAAAGTACCCCCGCCAATGCTCGCCGAAGTCGATGCTAAGCAATCAGAGACGAGTGCACGCGGAGGGACTTCCGAGCGTTGCTAACTCGAAGGTCAGGTCCGCTAAGGCAGATAGTTTGGAGAGATGTGATAGAGATCGAATATGTGACTCACTAGAAGAGCGCCTCGACCACACAGACTAACGACCGAAGTGCTTCGAGCTCGGACGTTTACGCGAAGGCTCAGATGACAAATTCACTTGAACTTCGAAAATGATCTCAGTATCGAGTGAGCCTTGAGGAAGTCATTATTTCCTGGGCTTGAAAGCCTCTAAATTATCTCTATGTATGCGAGTGTCTTAGCCAACTATATGATAGCCACGGAAGGCTTTGATCGTCGCTTCGCCTTCGCCGACAATGTATCCGGGACATCGTCGCCGAGGACGGGTCATCGCGACAAGAAGGCGCGTGGGTGCGCGCGAAGCCGCAGGGGGCCGCCCCTTTGAGGGAGGACTGAGGTGCCGCCTGGAAACTCCAGGGAGTCGACTCGCACAGCCCGCCGGGTGGCGAGAATCAGCTGACAGCCGCCCTCGCTCGCCACGAGTGCAGTCGCCCAGAGGGTGGAGGGCCTTGCCATATATATTCGCCACAAATAGCAGATATTCGCCACAAATTTAAAGAAACATATTTTTCGCGAAACCGCTCAGGCCTTAAGGGAAGCGCAGTCTCCAGGCAGGGTGCTCCGGGCCGGACCCTGGCGTCGCGCGTTGACTCGTACCGCTGGCACACGGGCCGCGCAACGCGCGTTTAGAAGAACCCGTTTCCAAAGGTTCGTCGTGTAGCTTCACGTTGCCAATAGGAAACCCGCACAGCACGCGACTCCCCACACAGCTACACGGTGAACTGAGGATCATGCACCACGTGACCTGTCTCCGAGAAGTGTGGAGAGATTCGGGTTATTCATTATTCTATTAGCAGCGAAAGACGCGGGAAGACATTGTTAGCAGAAGTTATTCTGTTAAGAACGAGATGCGACCAGACGTTACGAGAGAGGGACTCTAGTAGGCCCTCGGTTAGGAGCACGTACGGCCAGACACCTATACAGCAATTTCCACGCCGTTGCCGCAATAGGTGACACATGCCAGGATAAATCGCGTCGCTGTCCCCGCATACAATGATCGGCTCGGATTTATCACGCTGCCTCCGCGACGCCGGCTGTAAGTGACCTGCTCTGAAGAAGCCAACTTTGACAAACTACAAGCCGCTGGATGAAAAAACTACAGTTCGGGCACTGAGCGTAGATGCGAAATACGTGCAAGAGCCTGCTGCGAAAACGCACGCCACCGCCGCCTAAACGCCCCGCAGCGAAGGGCCCTGGAGCAGACATCAATTAATGAGAATGCCGGAAGATTGAATACTAAAAATCCTCTAAAACTCAAATGGGGAAAAGGTGTAGGGGCTAACCAAAAAGGTGATGGTAGGATACTCTTGAAGACAGAACGAGACAATACACTCAATCCATGACGATGAAAAAGCTATGATCAATAATGGCAATAAGATAAGAAGTCTTCAGGATGACTACATGGCCCCTGTGGGTTTATAGAGAGGCGGGGTGGTTATAGATCATAACGCCCAAACTTTGTGACGCGAGCGACAAATCATGCAAAGCGAACCGTCGACTCACTACCATGTTCTGTCAAAGGCATAACGCGTAACTTGATCTGTCGAAGTAAATTACATCACTACGGCGCGAACTCGACCCACTCCCGACTTACTTTATCTCCCAAAGTTTGCATGCGTGGTTCAAGCTGAATTTAGCAGTAAACTGGCGAATTGACAGGACAAACGTGTAATCACCTACTGATATCTTATTTGTTTTGTGTTTTTGTGTATTTTGGTCCTGGAAACGTTCTCATCACAGAATTAAGATTTTTCAGGCGCGAAGGCAGAATAGCCACGCAAATTTTTAAATGTGATATTGAGATGCTATGCTAAAGATTGCCCTAGACACAAAGTGTCCTAAGTCTAGTATGTGTATATGTGTGTGTGTGTGTGTGTATGTACATATATATCATCAAGGTTGGGCCTAGTGGCCCGTTCCTCTCTCAAGAGTCTCTTTCCATCTTGTGTGGGGTCTGCCTCTGGGTCGTTTCCCCTTTGGTTTGTATTCGAGGATAGTCTTGGGAAGCCGTTCTTGTGGCATTCTGGTTAGGTGTTCGAGCCAATTCTTCCTCGTTGAGTCAATCTTCTCCAACATGCTGGAGATCTGTAGTTCACCTCTGATGTCTTCATTTCTTTTATGATCTAGTAGTGTATATCCCGCTAATGGTCTCAGGAATCTCATTTCTGCCGCTTCGATCTTTCTTCTGTCTGATCTATTGACTGTCCAGTTTTCGCATCCATACGTTAGCATTGGGACTGCAATAGTTTTGTAAAACTTTAATTGTGTGTCTTGTCTGGTCTTTTGTCTTAGTGCTCTGCGTATAGTACCGCACAATTTCTGGAATTTTTGGATCTTTATGTTTATATCTTTTGTCGCTGTATGAGATGTTCCTAAATAATTAAAGTTATTTACTTGTTCAATACTTTTTCCGTTTATCACTACTTTATATCTGATATGGTTTTCCCCCTGGAATGCCATTGTTTTCGTTTTAGAGGTTGATATCTTCAAGTTATAATTTTTCACTGTCAACTCGAGAAAATGGGCAGCTCTCTGTAGGTCGCCTTCTGAAGTACTAAAAATGGCCTGGTCATCTGCAAATAGAGTAGTGTTTAACATTGTATTGCTTATTTTAAAATGTGTGGTAAGATTACTTTGCCATTCTTGAATAATATGATATATATATATATATATATATATATATATATATATATAAAATCTACACTTCCAGAAAGAAGAAAAAGTTTAAATCATGCATTCTAATCTCAAGTGGAACTCGTGCAGAGAAGATATTAATTCAAAATTTATTTAATAACATATTCTATTTAACCGAATTTGATTGATTTACCAAACTTAATTATGATCTGAGAATAACAAGGGACAGCACCATTGAAACAGTACGAACAGAGTATAATGCAAATGTTCACTTCACCCTCAAATACACAATAAATTTGGGGTCAAAGAACAAGAGGGAAAACAAACCATCAAAACATAAAAGAAAAATATCCAAACAAATAACAAGTACAAAAAGTACAGATTTCTATAGACTCTTATTAAAAAACTTTACCCATTTCTACTGCTTTGTATATTAGCTTACGCAATCCTTATGGTTGTACAGAAGAACTTACCTAACATGATACATCTTACAAAATTAACACAAGCATATGACACGACAAGCGTGCAATTTTTCCCAAACCCTGGTGCATAAACACATTATACCAAAAAAGTATTCTCTACAGGATTACAATACTTCAACAAATTACCAAAAAATCTGACATTACAAGAGTACACGGTTTCCAGAATAAACTCAAAATACTTTTTCTTTAATGTTCAATAATACCTCAATGACTTATCATGTGCAATCTGGTTACGGTATGGCAATGGATAGAACTGAAATGCAGTAGTAGGATTGTGTGCAGAAGTAGGAAACCTGGTCAAAACCCTCCTTATTCTGGGACCGCTTGGATATGCTCACT